TACAGTAAACCAACAGCCAACATCAAATTAAAATCAGGAACAAGGCAAAGTTGTCTACTCTCTCCATGTCTCTTCAATATTGTACTTGAAGTTTTAGCTAGAGCAATACGACAACAAAAGGAGATCAAGGGGATACAAATAGGAAAGAAAGAAGTAAAACATTCACTATTTGCAGATGATATGATAGTTTACATAGGTGACCTGAAAAACTCTACAAGGGAACTCTTACAGCTGATAAACACTTTCAACAAAGTGGCAGGATACACGATTAACTCAAAAAAATCAGTAGCCCTACTATATACAAATGATAAATGGGCTGAGAGAAATCACAGAAACATCACCCTTTACAATAGCCACAAACAACATAAAATATCTTGGGGTAATGCTAACCAACCAAGTGAAAGACCTATATAACAAGAACTTTGAGTCTTTAAAGAAAGAAATTAAAGAAACATCACCCTTTACAATTGCCACAAACAACATAAAATACCTTGGGGTAACATTAACCAAACAAGTGAAAGACCTGTATCGCAAGAACTTTGAATCTTTAAAAAAAGAAATTAAAGAAACCCTCAGAAAATGGAAAGATCTCCCATGCTCTTGGATAGGTAGGATCAATGTAGTAAAAATGGCAATCCTGCCAAAAGCAATCTACAGATTCAATGCAATCCCCATTAAAATCCCAGCACAATTCTTCACAGACCTTGAAAGAACAATAATCAATTTTGTATGGAAAAACAAAAGACCCAGGATAGCCAAAACAACCCTGTTCAACAAGGCAACGTCTGGAGGCATCACCATCCCTGACCTCAAGCTCTATTATAGAGCTATAGTCCTGAAAACAGCTTGGTATTGGCACAAAAATAGACAGGTAGACCAATGGAATCGAATTGAAAACCTGGATATTAACCCACACACATATGAACATCTGAGCTTTAACAAAGAAGCTAAAAATATACAATGGAATAAAGAAAGCATCTTCAACAAATGGTGCTGGCATAACTGGAGGCTGGCATGTAGAAGAATGCAGATCGATCCATGTTTATCGCCATGCACAAAACTTAAGTCCAAATGGATCAAAGACCTCAACATAAATCCAGCCACACTGAACCTCTTAGAAGAGACAGTGGGTGGTACCCTTGAACAAATTGGTACAGGAGACAGCTTCCTGAACATAACACCACTAGCACAGACAGTGAGATCAGCAATTAATAAATGGGACCTCCTGAAACTGAGAAGCTTCTGTAAGGCAAAGGACACAGTCAGCAAGACAAAATGAGGGGATAATGGGGGGATTGGGGGGAGGGCATGGGAGGAGGGGAGGGAAAGGGAGAGGGACCTGGAACTGACTTGTGAAACAACCTTGTTTCTTATCTAAATTTAAACTGAAAAATAAATTTTAAAAAATTAAAAAAGAAAGAAATTAAAGAAGATACCAGAAAATGGAAAAATCTCCCATGCTCTTGGATAGGTAGGATCAGCATAGCAAAAATGTCAATCTCACCAAAACAATCTACAGATTCAATGCAATCCCCATCAAAATCCCAGCATAATTCTTCACAGACCTTGAAAGAACAATATTCAACTTTATATGGAGAAACAAAAGACCCAAGATAGCCAAAACAACTTTGTACAATAAAAGAACTTCAGGAAGCATCACCATCCCTGACTTCAAGCCCTATTATAGAGCTATAGTCCTGAAAACAACTTGGTATTGGCACAAAAATAAGACAGACCAGTGGAATTGAATTGAAAACCCTGATATTAACCCACACATCTATTAACACCTGATTTTTGGTAAAGAACCTAAAACTATACAACTGAAAAAAGAAAGCATCTCCAACAAATGGTGCTAGCATAACTGGATACGGGCATGCAGAAGACTGCAGACAGATCCATATCTATCCCCATGCACAAAACTTAAGTACAAATGGATCAAAGACTTCAACATAAATCTAGCCACACTGAACCTCTTAGAAGAGTAAGTGGGAAGTACTCTCGAATGAATTGGCACAGGAGACCACTTCCTGAACATAACACCAGTAGCAGAGACACTGAGATCGACAATTAGTAAGTGGTATCTCCTGAAACTGAGAAGCTTCTGTAAGGCAAAGGACACAGTTAAGACAAAATGGGAGCACACAGAATGGGAAAAGATATTCACCAACCCCACTTCTGACAGAGGACTGATCTCCAAAATATACAAAGAATACAAGAAGCAAGTCTCCAAAACACCAAAAAATCCTATTAAGAAGTGAGGCACAGATCTAAATAGAGACTTCTCAATAGAGGAATCTAAAATGGCTCATAGACACTTAAGAAAGTGCTCAACAATCTTAGCCATCAGGGAAATGCAAATCAAAACAACTCTGAGATACCATCTTGCTCCTATCAGAAGGGTTAAAGTTAAAAACACCAATGACAGTTTATGCTAGAGAGGATATGGAGAAAGGGGAACCCTTCTCCATTGCTGGTGGGAGTGAACTCATACAGCACTTTGGAAATCAGTATGGTGGTTCTTTAGTAAAATGGGAATCAGTCTACCTCAAGATCCAGCAATTCTACTCTTAGGCATATACCCAAAAGATGCACATTCATGCAACAAGGACATCTGTTCTACTGTGTTCACAGCAGCATTATTTGTAATAGCCAGAACCTGGAAGCAACCTAGATGCCCCTCAACCTAATAATGGATAAAGAAAATGTAGTATTACTCAGATGGTAAACAATGACATCAGGAAATTTGACATCAAATAGATGGAACTAGATAAAATCATTGAGTGAGGTAACTCAGACACAGAAAGAGAAACATGTTCTCATAAGTAGATACTAGTTATAAAGTTAAGGATAACCATGCTATAACCCACAGACCAGAGAGGCTAGGTAACAAGGAGGCCCAAAGGGGAACACATTGATCTTCCTGGAAAAGAGAAATAAAAGAGATCTCTTGGGTGGACTGGGGGCAGGCTGGAACAGGATCTTGAGAGATCAGGGTGGTGGGTAAATGGAGGGGAAGAATACCCAACTGTCATCAAAGAGCCTTCATCTAGTAAGTGATTGACACATATGCAGAGACCCACAGTCAAGCATTAGGCCAAACTCAGGAAACCCTGTGGAAGAGGGAGGAAGACTGTAGGAACCAGAAGGGGTTCAAGGACATCACAGGAAATCCCACAGAAACAATTAACCTGGTTCAGAAGAGCTCAGAGAGTCTGAACCAACAACCAAGGCGCCTGCATGGGACAAATCTAAGCCATATACATATATGTGATAGTTGTATAGCTTGGTCTACCTGTATTACTTCTAACAGTGGGAGCAGAGATGGTCCTTCATGCTTTGGCTGGCTCTTGGGAACCTATTCCTCATACTGGATTGCCTTGTCCAGCCTGAATACTCCAACTTGATATACTATGCTTTGTGGATACCCATAGGAGGCCTGTCCCTTTTTAAACAGAAACAGAGGAGTTGATTTGGGGGGTGGAGGTAAGTGGAGGGAATGGGAGAAGAGGAAGGTAGGGAAACTGCAGTTGAGATGTAAAATAAATAAATTTTTTAAAAAAGCTGATCACAGAAAGAACAGCTGCCATTCACTCTATGATAAAGTGAAAATCTCACCCTATTCAACAGCTTCCAGTACAGAGGACATGGGATCCATACTCCAACGCTGTGGTCCAGGAAGATTCATTAAGTTACTTGTCTGTGCAAAGGCACAATTCTCTTGAAAGGGAGCATTACTAAGTACTGCCATTTTCCTTGGAGGAACCAAGGATGGGTGCAGTCTGGTTGCATGTCTACATTTCCCGCTTCACTTTTATAGAAATAAAAGGAGTATATTTTCCTCTATCAAACAGTCCATTAAGTTGGTGGAACAATTAGACTATAGAAATTTCGAAGTAGTTTATATATGTGCCATTTAATTTAGAACACAGAAGCCATTCTAACAGCAAGGAATCACATATTTCAAGATTGTGTCCAAAGAATATTTTTGTGGACAGGGAAGAAAAATATTTAAGATTGGGAAGAAGGTTTACCAGGGATTAAACCCAGCACCTTGCAAATTCTAGGCAAGCATTCTAGGAATGAGCTATATCTCTAGTCAGTTTTGTATTTTCTATTACATGCAGTTATTTATTCTGTGTGTGTGTGTGTGTGTGTGTGTGTGTGTGTGTGTGCGTGTGAATGTGCACACACGTGCCATAGTCCACATGTAAAGGTCACAGGGCAACTTGCAGGAGTTCCTTCTCCCTTCTACCATGTTGATCCTAGGGACCAAAGTTGGGTCTTCAGGGTTGAAGGTAAGCACCTTTACCTACTGTAGCATTTTTATAGCCCCCTTGTTTTTGTTTTGAAATAGGTTATCACTAAGCTGTCCAATCAGATGTAAGCTGTCTGTCTCTGTGGTTCAAATAAGCTTTGACTTTGTAATCTTTTTCCCTTAACATCTCAGATAGCTGCATTACAAGCCTGAGTCATGAGGCATAGCTTACTTTTACATTGTTATTTTTGTTTGACTTCTGAACTTAGATATCTGACAACTCAAGCATGTCCCCAACTCCTATTGGCATTACATGCACAATATAACATTAGCCTCTAAGCATTCTTTGCTACAAAAATGGTTATATGGTTTCATATGTTTTTAAAAGACATTCTACAACATGACTATTATGCACTGACAATAATCACAAGGTACAAATAATTTATATGGAGGGTGTCTCTCTGACCACAGGACAGTTAACCTAAATAAGTAAGCCAGCTACTTTCAAGCAAGGGCTTATGTTCCCTTCCCTGCCTGATCTGGAATATTCAGGGTCAGTAGATACTAATAATCTCTTTACCTTTAGATAGCATTTGTGAACTCTTCCAACAGAAGGGGTCATTAGTTTTTATTACTTCTGTTAAAATCCACCTCAAATAATTACTTTATAAATAATTTGACCTCCCAAATGCTAATTAGTCATTAGTAAATTAATACTTAAAAAATTAAATACTCTGTTATTCACCTGGAGGAGAAGAGAGATGACGAACAGGTCTCGCTGGTTGAAGCGGCTTGCCAATCAATTTTTTGGTTTCCATTGTCATAAAGTCCTTGAGGTTCCATACTTTAATAGGGAAAAACATATTTTTATCTTTTAGACAAAATAATAAAAACAACCACAATACTCATTTGAAAACATTAAAGTGGAAACATACATGAAACCCATTTAAAATATTCAACAACTGAACCTCTATATAGTTCTCACCGCAGTTACAGAAACCCTCTTTAAGATATTTTCCTCCTATAGAGGGATACTGTTTCAGCCCAGATACACAGAGGAGGGCCTATGCCCTCCCACAAATGATGTGATGACTTTGATGATCCCCCAAGGAAGGCCTCTCTATATTTGGGGAGTGAATGGGGGTGGTTTTGGGGGGCTGGTGGGGAGCATAGGAGAATGGGAGAGAAAGGGAATGGAGGATTGATATGTAAAATAAGATTGTTTCTAAATAAAAAATTATTTAAAATTTTTTAAAATATATTTTCCTCCTTCTATTTATGTGACTCTACTGTCTTTTATTGTTTCCTGTGTCTTTGGCTGCCTCTTCTAACTACTTTAACTGATCCCTCATCTGCTCTTCAAATATAAATTTAAGGATGATTAGTTCTTTTAGCTAACTCATCGACGTTCATGTTTACAGCTATCCATACACAAATGAAAATATGATGTGATGTATATCTTTATGTATTTATTAAATAAGTGCCAGTCCCACTTTTCTCCATTATCATTTTAAACATCTCCAAACTGGAATTAAATGCTGTGGTATCAAAAGTGTTCTGAATTCTTTAATCACCAACTCCCTTAAATACCCCTTTACCACACACACCTTCAATTTGATGGTTTTAGTCACCCTGATTCCTGTCCATTTCTCTTTCCAAAGATACCTCATGTATCTTCATCAACTCTCCACTAGTCTTAATTTCATAGCCTTGGCTGGCCTTCAACTCTCTCTGTAGACCAGGCTGGCCTCAAACTGCCTCTGCTTCCCGAATGCTGGAATTAAAGGTGTGCATCATAACTGTCCAGCCACAGAAGTTCTTAATTCATCTCTCTGACTACCGATGTAAATGATCCCTACATGTGACCTTGTGACACCAAGATTATGTCCATGTTATGACATTTAGAAAACATTATATTTTTCTTCCATACTACACAAAATTAGAAAACAGGTTCTTCTTAATGAAGAGACATTAATTTGCCCAATATCCCCTAAAAAATACAAAGTATGGATAAAGCAAGCTATTCTTTGAGTAGCTAAATCAATACTGTCATCATTAGAACCATGGTCCTTTTGTATTCATCTAACCTTTAAAAATGTGAGCATGACTGTAACCACTACTGCTTGGATGATAGAACAGGACAATTTCAAGGCCAGCCTAAGCAACTTAACAAGATCCTGTCCAAAAAATAAAAAAAATTAAAAATACTTTGGAATATATCTCAAGGGTAGATACATTGCCTACCATGTGTAAGGATCTAGATTACTTCCCCAATTACCAAAACAAGACAAATATACTTCCCACCAGTTCAAAATCATCTGCACTAATAATAACAGAAGCAGGTTATATCCATGACATGTATAACAAACCATTTATGTACACATTATTATTATAAATAACTCTGTACCATTCATAGAACTCAGGAACAGTAGTGTGCCCTATAGTCCCACCACTCAAAAGCTGAGGTAGGAAGAATACAAACTAGAGGCCACACTGGGTCATTTGTTAAATCCAAAGCCATCCTGGGCTACTTGACCCTGTCTCAAAATTAATCATTATTATGTAAGCATGCCTGTGTTCATATCATGCCGCCAACACCTACCTATATGACAGCAGATAATAACCACCTTAGTTCCTAGGCATGATGCAAACACTAAATAGTATAACTTAAATAAATCACTTAGGAACATTTATGTTACATAACTCAGTAGAAGTTCATGTGGCATTCTCATTTTGTAGTTCAGGTATAGAGAGATAATGTAATCATCCAAGGTCAGCAGACTAGGGAGTGATGGATGGTAAGGCTTGGCTCATGCTGGGGGACAAGCTTCTATCCTTCTTACACTTAGGCTAAACATCTCAAGTTTTCAATAAGAAGCCTTTTTATGTTTTCACAAAAACAATTCTGTAACTTCTTCCAACCCAGTACTTACAGCACACACTGCAACTACCTACTAATCAATGTTTAAATTTGTTGCGATTTTCATATACATATTCAATGTATCTGATAATATCAACCCTCAACTCCCATCCAACTTCCCTCTACCCCTAGATTCTCAACAAATATTAAATTCCAGTTCTCCCTTTCAGGAATGCATCTTATGTGACCGACTCTTCTGTAATGGTGGACATTCACTGAGTTGTTGAATGAATATTATTCTGTTTCACAGTGTATAAAAATCCAACTATGTCTCCACACTTGTCACTCTTCTATACTCTTCAACCAAATGGCTATGAATCTTTCTGGACCAAAACAAGTTGCTTTTATCTTCTTACAGAATATCTCCAAGTCTCAACACATAGCTTCAAACAAAGCAGTTTTCAATGTTCTGATAGTCAAAAGTAAAATAATTCTGCTTTCCTTACCACCCATCTCCATTTTTTCCCACTGCATCTCACCTATTTTGTTTTTGCTAAAATATAGCATGTGAAGTATATTGCATGCTGGTTTGAATATATCAAGTTGGCTGAAGCCACCAAAACTAGATTTCAATTATCTTTTCCTCCTATTAGCTACAACGTAATTAGTTTTAATAATTAAACCAAAAAGGTCTTTCTCACTATAAAATCTCCCAACATCTTCATGACACACAGCTTCCTAAATTCTCGTACCTTGCTTAGCTTTATACTAATCATCAAAAGTAATTGTGATCATAAGCAAATGGCAAGCCCTACTTACATTTCCTCACGCATAAGATATGATTACTATTTTGTTCTAAGAGATGCTTTCTATGATTTAAAAGTCTAGGATACCTAATTCCAGTATTACAAGACTAAGTATCTTCCCTCTAAGTTAATCATGCTAACTCATCAAGAGTCAATTTTTCCTGAAGTGTGGGGATAAGCCAAGCAGCACCCCTGTCAGCACCTATCTTGCCTTCTTATGTTAGCTAGTGCTGTCTTAACAGAGCAAGCTTTCTAAACAAATCAGTACTACATTTTTTCATGATACAACACAGATAACAGGAAGCAAAAAATAAAACCCCTCAAGTATACATTAACTGTTTTCTACATGGAATATTTAAATATGGGTCAAAAGATGTCTAATGTCTAATGTGAATTATTAACTATTATACATGTTTCTTTACTTAATGTTTATTCTAACAATTCTGATGAGGACATACCACACAGCAACTGTCCTTCCTGCTTCCTATATGAAACTAGTGAATCAGAACACAAAAGAATAAAGGCTTTGGCACACAGCTCCTTGTTTTCCATTGCTCAGCTGAAACTGAGCTGTACTGGGATGTCCCTTCCAGCTGCTGAGCAGGGCAAACCCATAGTATTCAAACTGAGGAATTTCAAGAGTTGGGAGTTACAGATTTTGCAAAACAATAAACAGGAAATGAAAGCCCTTTTCGTGCCACCTACCTTCCAGTTGGCAGTAGGAAAAAGGACACCTAGAACTTCCCATATATAAAATCACATCAGTCCAGAAATTGGAAATTCTGGTTGCACACATACTTTTTAATATGTTTTCTTACTCTGCTTGCACAGAAACACTGACATGGGTTAGAAATCAAGATGCATAGTACACACCATGAAGATTACCACCACAGACATCTTAGCTACAGATGCTAATCAAGAGTGAACTCCAAAAACCACAATCCTAATTTCCATTTAATTAAAAGTAATCAAAGTTTAGCAGAGCTATTAAGTTGGTATATAAAATAACTTCAGATTTTAATTCCTGTTTCATCCAAGAGCTTAAAAGTTTCCCTGATGCTCCCAGAGTAGGCATTTATGTCATCAACTTTTACAAAGGACAGTAGTTGCAAAAGAAACACCTAAGAAAGTTCTCTTTTAAAAATGCATGTACATTTTGTGACATAGATTGTATTTTTAGAAGCCATTTGGCATAATATCTCAAAAATATATATTTTATTAATATAGTCCTCAGAATGGTTGCTAAATAAAGTTTCTTTCAAGTTTTGAAGGTGTGTCATCTTGAAGGACAAGTTGTCTATGAGTGAAATCAGTAGATTCCTAGTAGGATTATTAGTCAAGAACCTTGGAGCTGCTATTCTACACTTGCCAACACTAACTATATCCTAGGTTCCTTTTCTAATTTGCAAAAGCTGTTCTCAAATTCTGAAGTTACAAATTAACTAGAATTTTCTATAATATATTAGAATAAACACATAAACTGATTGCATTTGGATGCAATCTGTATCGAGTATAGATGTTTTAAAACACAATTTCTTCAGAAATTACTACATCCTAAATACCTTGCAAATGTTACTTCATTTAACATTGAGCTATGCATTAACTGATGAAATGGTTAGTTCCACCTTACAGATGAGAAACATGAGGTTTAGAAACCCCAATCTACATAGTTACCCAAAAAGTGTATATTTGACTACAAAAGTCATCAGTTTCTATGCTTGCTTATTTGTTCAGACATCTGACTCTACTGTTACATGCAAGTATTCTATGTATTGATGAAAAAACTTAATAGAGGGCACATTTATGTATATAAAGCCTTGGTGAATAAATGTATATGCTAACACTTTCCATTTCCTCAATTTACAATTTTCTCTCATTTAACTATGACATGTTTTGTTCACACTAATCATAATTCAGAGTTTAAGATACATAGAGCTGGGTTTAGCTCAGGTGACACAGGACTTGTCTATCACATATGAAGCACTGGGTTTGATCCCCAGCACTGCATAAATCCTGGTATGATGGCTCACACCTATAATCCCAGCACTTGGGACCGGAATTCAACCTCATCCTGGGCATCACAGCGAATTAGAGGCCAGCCAGGACTAGACAAGCTAAGTACCAAAATTAAATCTCCCTTTTAAATTCTGGGCTTCTTGGGGCTAAGGATGTATCTCAGTGGGAAAGTGCTACCCTAAAATGTGTGAGGCCTTCGGCTCTATTCCCAGCACTGCCAAAACAAAGGTGCAGCGTTCTAGTATAATTTAAAAACGAGATCACTTTTATTTACTTCCGTATATTTCCTATGTGAAAACTCGTTGTTTTAAATTCAATTTCCTTCTTTAAGATTCTACACTTCAAAGTATTCCTTAAAGCCAAATTCTGCTTGTTAAAAAAGCCAACCAGTCCTGATAATAATAATAAACGAAAAGTAACAACAACCACAACAAAACATGCGAACGGGAGATAGGATCTATTAATAGCTAAAAGAATTTTATATTCCATAAATCTAGGTGGCCTATTTGGTTTTTCAAAAATCAAAAACTACAAATCAAATCCAACAGCTACGCCTAGCATCATACTTCTCACACCTCTAAAAAACCCGGGAAGTGGGGGCCTAAAAGTTTTGGGGGGATTTTGGTTTTGTGTGTCTTAGTACCCTTCCATCAAGACACAGTTAAACGATTCTCTCAGACAAGCGGCCCAAGCCACAGGTGTTTGGCGAGCAGTCCATTAGCTGGCACCTGTGGGCTGGCGAGCGGGCGAGCGGGCGAACTTTACGGCGCCTCCGTTCCCGCTGCCCGCTCCTCCGCGGTGCCCGCAGCCCACCCGACGCCCGGGCTGTGCGGGCGGCCTCCCGTCACCTACCGCCTCAAGACCCGGGAGGGTTTCCGGCGCGGCGTCGCGGCGCTCAGCCCAGACACGGCGGCCGAGCGCCCGGCTGCCGTCGGGGAACGGCTCCAGCCGCGCGTCGGCTCGCGGCCTGGGTCGCCGCGGCAGCGGGCAGGGGGCGGGGCGAGGGCGCGGGCCGGGGGCGGGGCCCCGGGGCCGGGACCGTTAAACCGGCGGCGCGCGCGTCCCCCCGGCAGGGCCTGGGGAGGGGGGGCGGTCCGCGGCGCGCGCGGGGCGAGCGATCGAACGATCGAGCGAGCGAGCGGGCGGGCGGGCGGCGACCTCAAGCAGGTGCGGACCGACGGACGGGCGGACGCGGTGGCCCTCGACCGAGCGCGCCCGCCTGGACAGCTCGCTCGGGACCCGCGTCCTCAGCACCACTGGCGCGGGACCTTTAGGCAGGCCGTCCGCGCTGCGTGGAGCCGGAGGGTGCGAGCCCGGCCGCCTCTGTGAGCAAAGCCGCCTCTGTGAGCCAGGCCAAGGCAGTGAGGGAAGCTGGGGCTGAGGCAAGCCGCGGTCCCAAGCCCTGGAGCAGGCGCCCCAAATCCTTTTTTCTCTTTGAAGGGGCTGGCATCACTTCTACCTGGTACGTCTTCTCTGGATTCCAGCTGTCGACAAGGATGGTAGTGGAGAAATGGTGTCCATCCTGCAGGAATATATATTTTCACTGTATCACTTTTCTGTTGCGGTGACAGTAAAAATAAATAAATAAAAGTATGAAAAACTAAAGGGAGGGTCTTTTTAGGCTCACAGTTTGAGGGTATAGTCCACCATGGTGAAGAAGGTGTGCGGTAAGAGCGTGAGGCCATTTGTTTATGCTAGGGAATATTCCTCTAACTGTAAAGATTGGTTTATGCTGTGGAATATTACTTGAACTGTGTAAAGGTATGCTACATTTTTATGCTGCGTTTCTTTAATTGTGAAAAGATGTGTTGCTGTTTCATCTTGCCTGCCTAAGGCACCTGATTGGCCTAATGAAGAGCTGAATGCAGAGAAAGGATAGGCGGGGCTAGCGGGCAAAGAGGATAAACAGGATGACAAATGTAGACTAAAGAGAGGGAGAGGAAGAGAGGAGGGCTCAAGGGAGAAAGAGAGGGGGATGCCTGGGGCCAGCCAGATGTAGGGACAGCAGGAAAGTAAAATATAAAGAAAGGTAAAAAGTCCCAAGGCAAAGCATAGATGAAGAGAAACAGGTTATGAGTTAACAAGAAATAAGAGCTAAGACTGAGCATTCATAATTAATATTAAGTCTCCGTGTAATGGCTTGGGAGGCGGGTGATGGACAGCAGGCAGAAGTGGAAAGAGACCTGTAGATGTAACTCATATTGAAAGTTTTATTGGGGGGGTAAGAAAAGAAGTAAAGAGACAGAGACAGAGAGAGGACGGAAAAGAAGAGGGAGACAGGAAAAGTCCAGTCTGCCCCAGAGGAACAGCAGGAACGAAAGTGTAGGTGGGCGGGATCTTTCTATTAAAGGATCCTTTGTACCTGAGTGCAAACTGGTAGTCAAGGAACCCTGGGCTGACCAGGGTACTGCCTGAGTGCATTCTGCCAGGTGACAGGGGCAGGCCAGCATAATGCCTGAATCCTTACAGCACTATTTTGTGGGGGTTTGGTTTTGTTTTGTTTTGATGTTTTTTTTTTTTTCGGGGATGAGGGTGGTTTGGGTTTTTTGATGTTATTTAGTTTGGTGTTGGCTTGGATATTTTTTTCTTTTTTTATTTAAATTAGAAACAAGCTTGCTTCACATGTCAATCCCAGCTCCCTCTCCCTCCCTCCCCTCCTCCCAGCACCCCCACCAGTCCCCCCAATCCCACCAGTCCCCCGAACCCCCATCCGTCTTTGCACCCGAGGGAGAGTGTGGCCCTCCATGGAGGATATCCAGAGTCTGTCATTTCCTTCAGGGCAGGGCCTGGACCCTCCCCCATGTGTCCAGGCTGACACAGCATCCCTCAATGTGGGATAGGCTCCCAAAATCCATTTGTTTGCCAGGGATAAATACAGATTTAATACCCTGAGCCCCATAGATTGCCTAGGCCTCACTGACACCCACATTGAGGGGGTCTGCAGTCCCATGTTGGCCTCTCAGCCATCAGTCTAGGGTCCAAGAGCTCCCCCTTGTTCAAGTCAGCTGTCTCTGTGGGTTTGAATATTTTTTAAGAGGGAAAAAGAATGTGAACTTAGGTGGGTAGAGAGTTGGGGAGGACTTGGGGGATAGAAAAGAATATGATCAAAATACATAATGCTAAAAAATTTAAATACAAAAATTAATTTTAAAAAATATATAAAAGATAATGAGCAGACTATTTCAGAAGTAATTTGGGTAGTTTGATGAATTCTTGCACTGCTGAATCATTCCTTTGTCCATTGTATTCATTTGATATATATTAGATGTCCTTTAATTATTTCATAGCTATCTCAATTGCCAGACAAGATTTAATTTCCTTTATATCCAACTAAGTATTTTATCAATAATGTTCCCAAAGCCCAACAATGATTCTGGAATTTTTATAACAGCATGTTCTTTCATTCCGTTTTCTAAAGAGTTGTTACTAGTAATCTCTTATTGTGTATGAATATTGCCGTAGGTATGTACTTACAAGAAAAGCATAGTGGCACACATCTTTAATCCCAGCACTTGGAAGGCAGAGGCAGACGGATCTCTGTGAGTTTGAGGTCAGCCTATCCACAAAGTAAGTTCCAGGACAGAAAGAAAGAAAGAAAGAAAGAAAGAAAGAAAGAAAGAAAGAAAGAAAGAAAGAAAGAAAGAAAGAAAGAAAGAAAGAAAGAAAGAGGGAGGGAGGGAGGGAGGGAGGGAGGGAGGGAGGGAGGGAGGAAGGGAGGGAAGGAAGGAGGAAGGGAAGGAAGGAGGAGGAGGAGGAGGAGGAGGGAGGGAGGGAGGGAGGGAGGGAGGGAGGGAGGGAGGAAACAGTGTGTAGATAGGGTTCAACACTATACAGTTTCAAACATCCACAATGGATCTAGGACAGAAGCTCCACAGATATGGAGTACTGTTGTATGAATGTGTTAAATATTTGGGCCCATCCACCTAGGCAAATAGTTTTGATGGCTGATGTGTATTGGGTGCTAGTAATTAAGAATACAAACTGAGGCGGGGGAAAGACTATGATTGCTGAAGAACATATAACAAGAAGAAAAATGGTACCCATTAACAGTAGTGTCTATGGACAAAGTCGAGTGTGGTATATGTAGTGGAAGTATTCACATGGAATCAAAGTATTACAAAGATGCTATTGAAGGCTCAGAGGAATAAAAGGCCCCAGGAAAGTCTCATGAGACAAGTAAATCCTAAGGAGACTTTAGAAAGCTATATTCCATTATAATCAATTCCTACTCTGTAGGAATCCAGAATTCCTAAATTTATTTTAAATGTTTCTGTTAATACATAATAAAATATTTCAGCTGTACCATAAAAAGCTATATTCCTAGCAATAACAAAAACACAAAGGGATATATATGGATATATATGATTTAATGATTATGTCATATATAATTATATGTTAACATATATACATGTTAACACACATATATAAATGAAACAGGAATCAATACAAATAATAGCAATTCAGTCCTACAGAAGCACATCAAGCTAAATAAAGATAAAATATTTTCTTTCATAAGGATATCAAAAGGCACTAAAGGATTTTAGGTGCAATGTGGTCATTTGGAAAGTAGCAATGTGGGAAAGATATTGGAAAATGGTAGGAAGGACACAACGTAAGAGAGATAGGTGTTCTTACAGTCACCCAAGTAATACGCAAGAGAGCTTTGCACAAATAGTAGCGTTCATGAAGAAAAAGAAGTGCACGTGGCTGAGAGAAAAAGAAATGCCAGACAGTAGATGGCATGAGAACGAGACATGAAGAGTGGTAAAAACCAACTGTTGACATGGGCACCCTGATGAATATAGATGAATATAGACATCATTGTCTATCCTCTGTGTGTACATAGGGACACACCTGTACACATGCATACCACACACACACAAATCAATTTTTTCTTCATATTAGGACAAAATTGACAACTTTTAAATGACTCTAAACATGCTTCTGCCATGCTGAAGTATGTATTTGTGCAAAGCAATATGGATGGATATAGAATCAAATATGATCAACTCTGAAAATGCAGATGTTCTGTGCCATGCATTATCAAATATTCAGTTTTTATTTTTTATGTAAAAACAAGCACATCCATCTCACTAGTATATAAATTTGCTTTAATCATCAATCAATGGTAAGTTTTTATGTGTACCAATATCAAATTCATGTGTTATTGAATGGAGTACTATTCAGCAGAAAAAAAACAATGGAATCCTGAGATTTGCAGGCAAATGGATAACACTAGAAGAAACCATCCTGAGTGAGGTAACGTAGTCACAAAAAGAGAAACATGGCATGTACTCTTTCATATATGGATTTTAGACATAGATCTAGGGAGTGCCAGCCTACAATACCATGGCCAGAGAGTCTGGGAAACAGAACCTTCATTCAGTGGCTGATGGAAGAAGAGGCAGACTCCCACGGCTCAGCACTGAGCTGAACTCAAGAAAGCCAGTAACAGAGAGGGAGGACTGATGAGCAAAGGGGTTAAGACTCGGCTGGTTTAACCCCCAGAAACAGCTGACCTGACAAGGGTTAACTCTTGAATCCCAGACTGATGCCTGGGAATCCAGCATGGGACTGATCAAGACCCGCTGAATGGGGGTGTCAGTGAGGAGGCCTAGGTAATCTATTGAGCCTTGGCCAGTAGATCAGTACTCATCCCGAGTATACACATGGACTTTGGACTCCCATCCAACAATGTGAGATGCACTCTCACCCTGAACTCTTGGGGGAGGGTCTAGGCCCTGCCCTGGATGAAATGACAGACTATGGACACCCCCATGGAGGGCCTCACCCTCCCTGGGGAAATGAGGGGATATTAGGGGGGTTGGGGGAGGGCACGGGAGGAGGGGAGGGAAATGGAGAGGGACCTGGAATTGACATGTAAAGCGACCTTGTTTCTAATTTAAATTTAAACGTAAAAATAAAATAAATAAAATTCATGTGTTATTGTCAGTAAATGTTTTATTTGTATGTCTAATATATATACATATCATATACATACATATATATACATACACATATATGTATATACTCAAGACATAAGGATTCATGAATGGATAAAGTGTAAGAAGTGCTGGACTATGCAGGGTCTTAGCCCAACCACAGAAGGTTGAGCTGGGTCCCAGGAAGAGTAAGTGCACTGCTTGCCCGTTCCCAGCCTCCTGGAGTCAATCTGATGCATCGGGGAGTCTAGTCAAGCAGGAACTCTTATATTACCACACAACAAGCATCTTTAAAAGGAAAAAAACTGCAGAGTGGGAAAACAGCCAGCCAGTGGTTTTAAAGGTCAACCTATCACGTGCCTAGGCACCCTAGGCTTTACCTACTGAACACGAGCTGTTCATGCAGTGACCGCATCTGATTTGATCTAGGCAACCAATCATCTTTTTTCGTAAACAACTCAGGACTCACCCATGAGACTTCCCCTCAGTGCCATCTTTGACTGGCTCGTGTGCCCTACAGATTCCCCCTTTTAGTTTTAGACTATGGCCCACCTTATTTAGAAGTATGGGCCACTAGGCACCTCTGAAGATATTCACCTCTAATAGCACCTTGTGTCAAGGTTCACTCAAAAGGGAGAAAAACTGGGAGGGGGTTCAATCTGGTATACAGTATTTTAAACAGTGATGTAGAAACATCAGTATTACATAGTAATGATTGTTTTGAATGCAGATTGTCTGACTTAAAATCACCCTTTGAAGGACTCTGGAAGAGCATGGCCATATTCTATAAACAGAAACCACAGCCCTCTCCTTGGTGCCTGTAAATACACAACATGTTTTGTGAAGCTATCACAGTACCTGGCCCAAGTCTTTATTAGATTCCTTTATTCTAAAATAACAGGGATATTCAGAAAAGATGGTCAGAAACACCATGGTCGGGGCTGATGAGATGGCTCAGTGGGAAGAAAAGCTTGCTGCACAAAGCAGATCACCTAAGCCAATCCACAGAATAAAGGCAAGCATCAACTCCCAAAAGGTGTCCTCCCAACACACACACACACACACACACACACACACACACACACACACACACACTAAAACACTTTTTCAAAGAAAATGTCTAATCATAGGTTTATTTTCCCCTCTAAAAACAAATGGAATTTTTTTAGCACTTTGGACAGCAGGGGGCAAACAAGTTCCTTGTGCTCTAATAAGTCACTATCATGAGGTCTTTCTGAAAACACCGGAGTCCAACACTCACTGGGCACTGAGAACTACACAGAATTGATAATATTAGAACTGATAGCAAATTTGTGATAATTTGAGAATAAGCTTTAATATGTATAAAAATTCTAATGAAAATGTAACAAATATTGGTATGATCATACCAATGTATTTATCAAGAGCAAAATTTGAAGTTTCCATGATTAATGTAGTTAAAAAATGTTTAAATCATTTGTCTCTCATAATCCAGAGGTAACATTTTGTTGTTTTTTCCCCTAGTGTTTAGAGTACAGGCACATACTTTCCCCAAAGTGGATCAAAATGCAGGCATTACTTTGTGACTGAGTTCATTTCATCTTTCATGTTTTTATTTATTTGGATTTTCAAGACTAAGTTTCTCTGTGTAGCCTTGACTGTCCTGGAACTCTCTGTAGACTAGGATGGCCCTGAACTCACAGATCCGTCTGCCTCTACCATCTGAGTGCTCAGATTAACTGTGTAACAACGCTGCCAAGATCTGTTTTTAGTGCTGCATTTTTATTTTACAAGTTAAATGGGCCATAATTGGTTGACCCTAACCTATTCTTTTTAAAAACAACTATTTCCTTTTTTAATATTTACTAACAGAAATGTGGCCAACAACATTGTAAGTATTCAGGCATCTGTACTGGTCTACCCTGAGGGTTCTGGCAGGATATGCCCTCAGCTGAAGCCACTAAGAGCACCACCTGTGCACATTCACTCAGTTCCCTTTTAAAAGGGCCCTGCTCACCTCCTATCCTACTCTCTTTCTCTACCCCCACCCCATGTTCCTCTCTCTCTCCTCCTCCCTCTCCTTCTCTACCCTGTCCTGCTACTCCTGTCCCCACAGACTACACAGACTAGTCTCCCCACCATCCCTTTCCCCTAATTAAAAAAACCCTCCACTTGAACCCTGTTGCACCGCTTTTCTTAAATTACAACAATCATATACACATTTGCTCTTATAACACCATTGGTATAAATTCTTAAAATTATGCTACCAAAGAATATAGGGAGGGAGAGACTAAGAGAAGGGGGAAATTGAGATTTTTTTATATTCTAAGTCTTGGGATATTACTTCTCTTTTTCATTATCAGTTAATGGGGGAAAAGTACTATCTCTTGGCTTAATTTACACTGTTTACTAGGAACAAACATGCCTGTTAGGGCTGGAGAGATGGCTGAGTGTTTAAGAACTCATACTGCTTCCACAGAACAGCTGAATAGATTTCCAGCATCCAAGTCATGCAGCTTACAGCTGCCTGCAACTCCAACTCCAGGGCATCTGTCCTCCATGGGTGCATGCATGCATGCATGGATTCCTGAGCCTGCTCGTGAGTGCATGCACATACACACACACACACACACACACACACACACACACACACACACACACACAGGAAATGACATTTTAAAATGATGATAATGTTTAATTACATAGTTTTTTTTTAAAGCAGGTTCTTGCCATGCAGCCCTGGCTAGCTTGGATTTGCTATGTAGTCCAGGCTGGCATCAAATTCACAAGAGTCCACCTGCCTGCTTCCCAAGTGCTGGGATTAAAGGTGTGTGCCATCATGTTTGGCTTTATTTCTCCTCTAATAAATTGCTTCTTCCTGCCTTTAGATCCTTCCCATATTTCAGAGACTTGATTCAACTGTTTTGAAAATATCTTCTCCAATTTGTTTTTATTTTTAAATTTTTATTTTTTCATACACTAGTTCTTGAAGTGTTTGTATAGGTTTTAGTCACTTACTATATCAATCTTTTACATGTTTTGCTTCTAGGTAATATTTAGATCTTTTTTCTTTAACCTGGCATTATACTGTTAACCTAAATATTCTAGCTCAAAATGCCAAGTACTGACCCAAGTATACTTAGGAACTAAAAATAATGCAGTCACACATCCCTCATGTACATTCATTCTTTCACGTAGACACAGTACTGATGTACCAGGAAGGGATCTAAATGGGGATGAGTATGTGGGAAAACCATCACACATCTCCCAGAACTGTAATTCAGAAGGATACTATCAAATAGCATATAACACAGTGTGAGATTTCAAACCAATAGGGAAAAGGATGGGCTGACAATCAACATGCCTTGCTGTTCCAAAGTACAGTCGTTAAGACAAGACAAAGGAGGTTACTTTATACTGAATATCAAGTGTGCTGCCAATACCATGGCATGCAAAATGATTTTAGGAAAACATAGCTATGAAAATAGCACAAAAATGATAACTGAACATTATAAGTTATATATCTTCATTAATATGAATATTTCAGAGCAAATTTCAAGTAAATTTTCAAAACTAAACCTTATTTTTAAGATGACAGAACAAAGCAATTTTTGAATAATAATCTTTATTAGTGTATTTTCAAAGATACATATAATCCTGAGCTACTGCATTTATACATTTATCATTTCATTTTCTCCTTGAGGTTTACATGTATTTCACTCCAAACTTCACTGTAAGTACATTTTTATATTAATCAGGAACATAAATAATTTAAAATATTAGTCTTGTCCTTTGGAATCACATACTAATTTACTCAGGTCATCTCATTGTCTAATTCTACAATTTGAAAGAGTTTAGACCATTAACTCTTGATTGAATAATTCCTCCAATACTGCAAAAACGGGCAGTGCAAGAGCTGACTCCATGAATCCCAAGCGAAGTTTTAGAAAGCCGTGAAGATCTTTATCTCTGATCCATTTTCTTGAATAAATTGAGTCATTCATATCTGGTCAGCTGAGAAATGGTAAGAGAATCTAATTCTAACATTTCAGCTAATGCAAGACGCCATAGTTCTCTTCACAGAGAAATGGCTGAACAAGTATCTCAAAAATTTGCCATGGTCTAAGGAAAGGGAGTGCAACACCATGTAAATATGTCTTTGATGAGATGATGAAGTCTTATAAAACATGTTTTCTGAAATAGTTCCTCCAGTCTATAAAGGGATACACCCAGCAGATCAACAATAAATTCCATAAATCCAGACCAGATTTTTGTAAATGCTAAATAAAAAGACAAAAATGAAAGGCAAAAGCTCTATAATCTTAGAGAAAAGACACTTATCTGACATATCCAACTGTGGAGAAATATGTTCACCCTAAGTATTTTAATTTACTACCAAAATATTGTATCTTTCTACAAACAACAAAAAACAAGCATATAATAACTAGAAATGCTTCTCTGACAAGAATGTCAAGTTTTGGAAAGTACACTCAGTTTTTTTCTTTCCTGAATAAGGTAACTATAATCTTAGGTTAAAATTACAGTAAGCAGTTCAAGCAAAAATGCATATTGCTTAGATTTTTAAAGCAAGCAATTCTGTTGAAAATGTAAGTAAAAATGTGAACCTATTGTAGAAACATTTATAAACACTTCTTGGGAATAGTCACAGATCAGCAAGTAATGGAATAACTGTTTTAAACATAATAAAAAACTGATATTAGACATAACATGTGATGACAAATCCAAAAATATCTTTGATTGATTTAAAAGAACAAAGACGCACTTTATTTTTCCAAGTTTGATAACCTAGCAGCAAAATGAACTTGCATATAATGTACTGTAGTGAGCATCTGTTCAGGAAAGACTCACAAAGTCTTGAAACTATTATACAAAGCAGGATGGAATCCACTAGGATAAATGATGTGATGTGTCCAAAAGAGCTTATCAAGAACTACTGGACACTCTCACCTGCATCAAGGATTCAGGGGTAGATTTAAGCAAAACTGTGTTCAGGATAACTGACCCTTATTGCACCCCAGTAACAAGCTCGGATAAGGCAAATCAAACCTATGAGATAAGCAAGTGCCCAAGAAACGTAGGTTGCATGAAATCGCCTTGAAAAATCTTGTGTGCCAACCTGAAACAAACAAACAAACAAAACAACAAAAACAAAAACAAAAACAAGAGATTAGAATCTTTAAGAAAATGTCTGCTGGGAAAACTTGCGTTGGCCCTCCGGTCGTGATTACATGAAATATGTCCCCAAATTGAAGCCAGTAAGTCCCTCTAAGACTACGTGCAGCTATTGTCTAATTGACAGACAACAATGCTATTAACTACAAATTTTATGCAGTAAATAAAAAGAGCACACTGCCAGACATGGTGGTGAATGCCTATAAATCCTAGGACTCAATACCAAAAGAGAAAAGTAAAGAAGAAATTTCTTATGACATTATCTCTGTAAGGTAATCAATCCATGTAAATATTTAGTATCAAATGGCACAGTAGAGCATTACTAAAAACATGGGACCAGGTGTATTAACAAAAGAACACAAAACATGGAAAGCAAAACAGAACAATTCCCCACCCCTTTCTCCCAGTGTAATCCCCATGCCAACTGTTCAACGTCAGTCTCTCCGAAACTACTCCATCCTCAGAGCAAACATAAACCTCTGCTTGACATGGGTAAGGAGAATGACTTTTCAGATCTCTGTAAATGAACAGTGTTGTTTTGGATATAAGATATTCCATGACCGTGCAAAATTGGTTCTGCCCACTCAGCAAAAGTAAAAGAGCTTTTGACCAACAAATAGTGAATTTCTCAGTGCTACAGACTTTCAGAGGGGCACAAACATAGTCTTTCCCTGGGTAGGAGACTCTGTTAGAAACAGCTCATGCACAATGAAATCTTGACTTTATATCATTAATATAAGGCCATGAAATCATTTAAAATGGGGCTGGAGAGACGGCTCAGAGGTAGGGAATACTGATGGATTATCCAGAGGACCTAAACTGGATTCCCAGCACCCACATCAAGACTCATAACCATCTGTAACCCCAGTTCCAGAGGATCTGAAACCCTCTGCTGGTCTCCATGAACATCAGGCACTCAAGTTGTGCACAGACATACATGCAGACAAAATCCCTGTGCACATAAAACAAGACAAAAATAAAAGTCTTCTTAAAGATCTTTTTAAAATATTACTAATTAAAAAATACATAACCAAGGAATGGATATCTGATTAACCATGGTCCTGTCATACTGAGTGACCACCATCTTGGGGATCTCTGATGACAATCCCAAACCTCAAGACATACTAAAGTTAGTAAAAGTGAAGAAAAAAATTCTAATAGTAGAGTTCAGTCTCTTTGCATGGTAGGGTACACCTGTAATCTCAAATAACCTATAATCCCAGTACTTGGGATTACAGTAGAGACAAGACGATCATGAGTTCTAATACCACCCTCTGCTACATGAGAACCTGTATCAGAACTAAAAAACAGAGGCAGTACTCACAGTTAGTCCAACTCCAATGAAAATGCATATCATTCCAATGGTGACATACGCACAGCAGCGTCTCCGGGGAAGTGCACTACCTACTGAAGAGCTGAAAAGAGCAGAGCAAAGGGACACATTAAGTTTATGCCAAGACTTTCCATTGCGTCTTCATGACTTCTTATGTGTGGCCTCACTAACTTATTGGCTTCATTTGTTTCTTCAAAATGACAGGCAGAATGTAAAAAATGACATTTTCAACAAATAACAAAGGTAAATGGTGCCCTGCTCACTGACAATATCCATTCATAAATGAATAACCAAAAAAAAAAAAAACCCACTGTGAGCAGCCTTCAGATAAATGACCACATCCAAAGGTCTTTCCAGAATGGAGAATAAATGCTGGCCTAAAAGTAGCATTTGGCTTGCTTAATAGTTTATGCTTAGTGCAGCAAATATGGGAAATAGAAAAATGAATGAAAAGGGGGAAAATGTGTAATTCTACTGCCCGAAAGCAGTCTCCCAGTGTCCTGGCATACTGTCTTCCTGCCGGTCTTTACTGACCCGTAGGCAGCATAACTGTTTTCCTGTTCTCAAGCATGGAGCTCTAATAAGTTATCAATGGAATCAGCTGTGTAGGAACTAGGACCTGAACACAGGTCCTTAGCAAGATCCATACCTGTTCTTAACCACTGAGCCATCTTTCCAGACCAAGGTAATTACCTATATTCAAAATTACCAATCTTCCTTTAAGGTACCTTATCTAGAAAGTTCTTTCTTATCCATTACAAAAATACTTTTCTTTTAAAGTCATAAAATTTTGTGTTTCTTTATTTGTATAAAAACACAGTCATTTTAGCTACCAGTTTCTATTTTATTATAGTATATTTATATATTATACTCTGTATAGAATATGGTATATACAAGTAAGAAATCTATGTTTCTGATGAAGAGACCATAATGGAATTTTTATATTAAATACTTAGTACATGTGATAAAAGAGAAATCCAGACCATCAAAGGCAAAACACAACTACAGTAACTTAAGATGAGTTTGTTTCTCTGGCATTATGTCAGAAAAAGGTATTCAACTAGAGCTGACTAATGGCCCTGTGCTGCGGTTAACTGGCATTGGCAGACTCCACTCAATTGGTAGCAAGGTTCCTGTTGCAGTTACCTTTCCAAACAACTAGAGAGGCAAAAGAACACCAACTCAAGCAATTCTGTGTTTGGGGAGCATAGTAGGAAGCTGTACTCATCACTTTCCATTGTTTCCAACTTAAACACATAGCTGTCCCACTGAAAGAGAGGATATAGCTGGGGTTGAGAATGGGTTGGGAGAAAAGGAAGAAAAGCATAAAAGACTTGCTATTTATCCTTACATGTATGTTTTGACCCTAAATAGCATTTTGCCTTTGGCAAGTTCATGGTTATATCTTTTTCTGTCTTGGCTCTCACTCCATGCTCAACTATTGTTTTTTAACCCTCTTTTTTGGCTTCCATGTTGCTAGTAAGATGCTTGCTGACACAAGTTTTCACTTCTCCCCTTTCTAGAGGGCTATGTTTCATTACATACTCATTTGGGAGAAGAACATATTTTGAGAAGGATATTGGGAGGGAGTAGTATTCCAATCTTTCCATCTCCTGAAAGGCAAAAGCTATTTCTTTTTACCAGAGCCCTAAATAAAATCTCAGGATGGCACCAGCTATCATTGTATTTTCATTTGTGGGCCCTTGGGGATTCCTTTTAGCATTCTTATCAGCTAAGCTATGCATCAAAGAAGAAGCTTGTTATAATTATTTAAAAGTATATACAAAAAAAATGTGGGCAGAGACTTTGCAAAAGGAAAGATTATTTGGTGTTCCCAAGCATCTAATTATGCTTCAAATTACAAACTTCCCTGTCCACAAAACCACTTTATAGAATGCTAGGCTTATGAGGGACACTTGTAAAGTAGGAGTATAGTTATTGCTATGAAAGTTTTTTAATGCCAATCAATATTCCTTATAATTTCAGATGAGTTAATAGGGGAAGGTAAGTGCTATGGTTTGATCATTGTGTCTTCCCTTCCGAAACTCATCTTGGAGTATAATCTTCCAGTAAGGTTTTTAAGAGGATGGGAATTTAATTGGAAGAGTGTAGAGACATGTGGCTTTTGAAAGGTAATTAGGATTAGATATGGTCACTAAGGTAATACCCCATGAGTGAATCTATGCTTGTTTTATTTGTTCTTAAAGAACAGGCAGAACAACTGGAGAGACAAACACGTGTACATTCCTGGTCATCAGCCATGTGAAACTCTGTACCACCCCAAAATTCTGCCAGCGAGAAGGTCACCACCACATGTAGGCTCTTAACCCTGGATCACATGTGCTAAAATAAGCCTTTGTTTTTGTTTTTGTTTTTTATAATGCATGAAGTCTTTAATATTTGACTATTGCAATACAAAAGAACCAATAGAGAGAGCTTAAAGGCAAGATGAGATGATGTGAGTAGACAGTAGGATGACATTAGCAGGGTGACAGTAGGATAGTTTATCAGTTTATAATAGTGCCATGGTTCAAGAATGAGAGAAAAAAATACTGTAATCATTCTCCCACAGGAAGTTGTAACAAGCAAACAAGAGAAACAAAAGAGACTTCAGCTAATTTGTGGGACTTAATGGGTGTTTCTGGGGCAGGGAGGGGAGAGGAAGTGAAGCAGCCAGGCCATCTCATGGCTCATACACAAGAATAAAGGAAAGAAGCAAGCAACTGTAGAGAATGCTTAGAGAAGTAGAAATTAGCACATAGTGGTTGCCTGTAGGTTCAGAAGAAAACAAAGAAAGCTCTACATGATAGCTACATAGAGGCTTAAATTTGGGGACCGTATAAAGCTTCCTATGAAGCATTCTAGAGAGAAAATGTCTTCTCAAAACAATTTATACACCACTAGGAAGACAAAATTAACAAACCAAAGGACAGGATTAAGATAAGAAGGGCAGGGCATCTTCTCCAGTTGTACAGCATGTAACTCACAGATTTACATGCTGTTGGGAACTACTAGGAAATCTGAAGCCAGACTTTAAATTCACGGGGATACGGGCACATGTTTCTAAGAAACTGGTTGAAAATGTTAAGGCTGGGGCCAAAGAGTAAATCAGAAGGCCACTGTCAGAACACTGACACAGGGGGCTGAGTGAGTGAAGCAAGGTTGAAATGGTAAGAGTATAGAGAGATGCCGGGCGGTGGTGGCGCACGCCTTTAATCCCAGCACACGGGAGGCAGAGGCAGGCGGATCTCTGTGAGTTCGAGGCTGGGCTCAACCGATAAGCCTCCAAAACAACACAGAGAAACCCTGTCTCGTAAAAACAAAAAAAACAAAAAAAACAAAAAAAGAGAATAGAGGGAAAGGTAAAATAGCAAGAGACAGCATCCATATATGGAGAATAAAGAAAAGATACAATCAGAATTCTGGCTGCACTAGAGAGATGGTGTAACATTCATTGATATATCCATTCTTTATAATGAATATTGGTGTGCAGAGTGGGGTCAGGAAGTTGTTAAAGATGTTTGTGATGTCAACTAAATGGTAGCATGAAATAATTACATGAGATCCTAAACAGAATTATCTGTCTACATCTGATGTTTGGGAAAGAAATCTGAACTGATCTGATGACATATAGATGACAGTGCCACACCTAAAATCTCACATAAAATGTGCTGAAATTCCTATACCAATGTGTAACAATTTAGAAAAGGAAATGAGACCAAGAAAATTAATAACAAAGGAGTGTTCTCTTAAGTGGAAAAACCCAGAAGAAAGCAATTTCTGGTAGCCAAGAGCAGAACAAATTAAAAGCAAGCAAACAAACAAAAAACCAATGACCATAGTTGCTCAAGGACACAAATGGATAGGGTTGAATGGTTGAATGGCTGGAAGTTGCAACTAGATGTGAATTTCCTCTGAGCAAAGTTAGTGGTGGCTTACAAAGTTAGTGGTGGCTTACGTCAGAGGGAATGGGGTGTACCTTGCACAGAAGAGACCTCCCTCCTCTAAGAGGACAGTGGCCATAGACAAAGACAGGATATAGACAGTGCTTAAAGCCAAAGGATTTCCCAGTCAGCTTCAATCATTTCAGAGAGACGGAAAGCAGTACATCAGCAGAGACAGGGAAAGTGGGGAGGCTGAACTGAAATGTATAAGAGGAACAAAAAGACCTGGACATAAATGTTTTGTGGACAATGGTGGTGGAAATTAAGGAAGCACACTTAAAAGGGAACAAAGAGCAAAGCTTTAGCTGAAGGGTAAAGTTGTACATTAGTAAAAGGCTAACAAATACTAAAATGTTCAGCTGGAGAAGGGAAGGAAGAGGCGCCTACTGCCTTGTGGATTCAAAACATTATTTGCATAGTGGATAGACAAGGTGAAGACTCAGTGAACCTAGCAAATCTGAGTCTCCTCATATCAACCATGATAAAAAGGAATTTGTTATCATTTCTAGCTGCGTGTCTTCTAGATCCTGAGTTTCTCCTGGAAGTCTCCAGAGCATCTAGGAGGATCTAGGAAACAAGGCCATCATTGGCCCCAGCCTGTCCAATCCATACCCAGTCCTCTCTGTTGGGTCTTTAGCAGCATGGATACACTGACTCCTCCCTTGCCTTTGCACAAGTGACTGCTTCTACAGTAAACCATACTGACCTTTTCACAATCCCCTTTGTCTATAACTTAGATCACGTTCCACCCTCTCCTGAAGGCCACCTGTCATGATGGCTTTCCCTCTCATCTTCAAAGCACAGCAACACATTGCCGCGGTGCCACTTTTTACTGTACCTTTCTATCCTCTCCTTCCTCACTTTTTGTCTACCAAACTAGTATGCATCCCAGTGAGACGATTGCCTTTTATTTCAAGTTTCCAGTAACATGGAGTGTTTACTAAAGTAAAAGGGCAATCTCATGAAATCTAAAGGACAGCATCCAAGAGTATCCATAATAACTGAAAACAGTAGAAAGACATTCGTGAAGGAGTTCCTGGTGATATAGAATCCATTGAGAGTTTAGAGGAAAAGCCCATGTTAGCTGTAGATCCATTTCAGTGGGGAACTACAGCCTAAATTGTGTTTCAGAATGCTAGAACTGCAGGTCCAGATGGAAACCACCAGCCGCAATGAAACGAAAACACATTTTCAGCTTCAAAAGCCTCCACTTCTGCATGAATAAGGAAATGCGATAGGAGAATACATTCTTTTGCCTGTGGAGCTGTGGGGGAAAGCTGTCCTCAAACTCTTGTGAGATTAACACATGGAATACTAGCTTTGTAGTAATGACTTCATAACTCCTATAATTAAAAAGGAATTTTAAGACAGACATGTTTAAAGAAATAAAATGCTGTCCCAGCAACCTATTCTAATAGACCCATCATGTTGCTATAAAGAAAAACATGCCAAAAGCAATTTTGGAAGTAGCTATGGTGCTCATGTGATGACAGTATCTGCCCACAGTAACAAATCCCCTGAATTTTCCCATGGTTAGCATATGACTCCAATTCCACAAACCATCTCCTTAGAACGGTTGTGTTCACATGAATTTCTACGTACACTGCTCCCTAAGTTATTGATACAAATTCTTCTTTATACTCATACAGCCTTATGATCAGAAATTTCATGTTCTTATCAGCAAAAGCAGTGCCATTGTTCTAATGTAGTTAATCAAACAAGTTCCTCAAGCATAGTCCTCACCCTCTCTCAGTAGTTTCTAACTGGTAAAACTAGACCAACGATCACCACCTTCTAAGATGGTTGCAAAAGTTCTGGCTAATGTGTACAGAGTCTGGAAGGTCACTCTCACCATACTTAGAGCAGCCAATCTTCTGTTTCTTATTTTCTGTGATTTTTTTAATACCACACAACATCCTTGCACAATGTATTTGCCACTTGAACTTGTGCATTTTGTGATACACGCATAAACATGCATTGATTGCATGTATAATTCACATATTTTGGTAGCATGTGTATTCACGTATGTCAGGAGTTGTCTCCCCAACATGATTTTTTTCTGTGTACATATTTGGGGTTGTCTATTTTTCTTCTCCATGCATGGACTTCTACAAGACTCAATAAAACGAAGAACTCAGGTGATTTATTTCATATATTTAATAAAGTATCTTTTCTTTTAAAGTTAAAACTGAATGATAAAGAAAATTATCCCAGGGCTAATGAATGGAGACATTTCATTATGCATTCTTAATTTTTTAAACACTTTTTAATTATTTTCCCTGAGAAACCATTCTTTCGATTCTTCTATTGTCAAAACAGATGAAGTTAATCAGATCATACTGAAGGTCATATAAAGTATGAATCCTTATTTTCTATTTTAAAAACTGAACTGTCAAAACATTCCAGTTTGATTGGCTTTGCTTACATTGTAATTCACCCATGTAAGTGAATAATCATTTTTAATTAAATTTTTGTTATCAAAATTAATGTTATGTGGAAAGGTTAACATATCAAGCCTAAGACTACTATCATTAAAAATCCCTTCTTAGAAGGTTAGTGCTTAGCTGCTGGCTGAGCACTTAAGTTTTTAAAAAGTTCCCAGCATTCCATAAGTAGTAAGAGAGGCTTATAGAGGATAAATTCTCTCTGTGAGTGGTATGGGTTACCCCCAAAATGAACTTTACTGTTGGCTATCTAGAATGTGGGGATGAGCTTAGCAATAGGTGCCAGTGTTCACTAAGGCACCAAGTCTCGCGTGAATACTCTTAGTAGACACACGTTGCAGATGTAGTGACAACTCATTCACAGAAGACTTCACTAGGAAAGGCCTCTTGGAAGCTTTTTCTTGATGCCTCCAAGGCTTGTGCCCTTTTTGTCCTTTGCCGAGTATGTTTAATATTCTTCAGCTAGAGTAAATCATTATCTGTAGTATGACTGGTCACTGTGAGCCTCCTTGGAACGAAATCTTGGTCCTCAGAGACCCCAACTCTTAAGCCGTAAAATATTTTTAATCAAAATATCTTCGTGATTGCCCATGGCCATATTGCTTTTTGTTCTTTTCCCTAGGTAAATCAGTTAGAAACATAGATAAATGGACTTCATAGTTAAAACAGACAGTTACATAAACTTGGCCACAGGAAGAATCTCATTAGGAAGGGAGTGGAAAAACTAACCATCAACTAACTACAGACTCACAAACAATACGAGGTTTTTCTCCTTGATTGCAATACTTCTTAAAAACATAGATTAGTTGCAAAAGACTATAACCTTTATAACATTGGAAAACTCTCAGGTAGCTGACAATTTACTAATTTTACTCTCTTAGAAATGGATTTCCCTTAAAGAAGCATAATCAAGCCCAATTATTTTCATTCCCAAATGAACTATATTAGCCTAAAGATGCCTTGGCTTTAACTTGAAAATGACAACTATATTAACCATTCATTCACTTCATAGCACGTCTTAAAAATCTTTAAGTGAGAATTCCAAACTCTAGGGTGCGCTCAAGCACGTCTCAGTGCTATCTCCAGCCGCAGAGAACTTACATTTTTTTGCAGTGTGGGCATTTTGCCAGAGTGTTGAACCTCAGTTCCATCCACTGTAAAATAAATAAAGAGAGGGATTTGAAAAGAAAAACAACTAAAAACCAGCCAATCTGAGGAAATGTTTATTTTAGTCTAAATGTCACCAGGGATCATGACAGCAGCCATACATAAATTGCCTTTTTGTGGTTCCATACTTTTTCCACCTCCAACAGTTCTCTCCTCCCCTGCAAACACATTTTGGGATCCCAGTCTGAACTGGTTCCCATGACTCTCAAGGCTCTGATACCATCTAGATTTGCCTCACTAGGAAAATAATGCAATTCTATACTCACGTCAGCTCTCTCCTCTGCATGCCTCAGGTCACTTATAAAGTATAGCAAACTTGTACCTTCAAACTTTATTTTCCTTTAAGCCCTGAGGACAACTTGTAAATACTTGAATATTTGGATTTATAACTTCTTTCACTTTCTATTTTGCTCGTGTGAGAAGCCACACATGAATATAAACTAACCAAATGAGATCCTAACAGAACTGCAGGCACGGAACTGTCTTGCTCCCTCATTGTTTGTAAAATGAAACAAAAACACATTAATCCAGTGGTACAATTTTCTCCTCCACCTGTCAGTAACTGTGGTATAGAATGTGTAACCTTTCTCATAAAACTGTTATTTAGATACTCAAAATTGCATACAGACCTTAGGGCAAAGTCTTTCAAAGAAAGTTCCTGTATATTTAAGCTAAAATCTTTACCTCATGAAAGTATTTCCCAATGGTTTTCTAAGGGGCTGTGGCTGTTGCTCTGAGTTTCAGTTAATGTTGAACAGGCATGTGGCCCAAGGTTCTCTGTGACAGCCCAACAATGTCTTCTAATTGTTCATCTTGCTTTAAATAATAGTATATTTCTTTCATAGTTTCACAGGGAGATAAATATGCCCTTAATTTGTGTCAAAACAAGTCTACCATATAAGAATTAATTTTTGTTTAGGATTCTAGGTAGTCAATTTCTAATTGTTGTGAGTTTTTAATAACATATGGCTATTCTAATGTTTTCCAAATAACAAAAGAAACTTTTAAGAAAAGATGAGTTTTTCTTTTTACAGTTTACTTTCACCCCTAGATTTAAGAAATGAGGGAAGGGGTATGGACTTCCTGTGCTCCATTTCTTCATTTTAATTCAAGCTTAATGAAACCCTGCTGACTTTACCAAACCTTCACGAGCTCTTCCCATCGCAGTAGGGCACCTAGTCCCAAGGGAAATGAACTAGGAATGAAACTAAGCAAATGCTTAGTTTTTTCCAAGAGATTATTTTCAATATCTGAGAAAGTCAACCAAAATCACATCATTTTCAAGCAGTCACCAAGCTTCCTCTCACTACTTACACTCTGTAACACAATAGTTTCTTTCAGTTACTCTTATCTGCAAAAGAGTTTTGAATTAATGTGCCAAGCAGAGGTTTACACAGATTTATACAGAAGCCAGAAAAGAACACAAAATAAAGCTAAGTATCCTTTTATATTTTCATGCTGAATTGGAGTATCATTTCAGATATTTTTTATAAACAGCTCTTCATGAATGATTTTATAATTAAAACAAGAAAATGACCTGAGATAGCAATTAAAAAAAACCTTTAAGTCAAGGGTAACTCCAACCCAAGAACTTAAGGTTGACACATTGCAGAATATGAATTTTAAGTGAATAAAGAGGATTATTTATCTCAACATTATTATCTTACAGTATACATTTTAGCACAGGTTAATCTTGGCAAATTCGTTTGTAACTAACATCTTAGACTTAATTGTGACAGAAGGTAGATTAGACAGTTGATAACCTAATACAAATGCTGGTGGTGGTGTAAATTCAAAAAATAAAAAAAAGATTTTATAGCTGGGGTTGATTTTGTATTAATGTATTTAAATGAACAAAAGTGGCTTTTGCAAAGAATTTGACTTTATATACTCTCCCAATCTAAAAATGCTATGCCTATACTCTTAAAATGGCTAAACCTTGAAGTCCTGGTAGTAAAAAAAAAAAAAAAAAAAAACTAAACAAAACAAAATTTTCTTTTCTGGCATCTTGGTCACTTCAGACAGTTCTCTAGCTAGGCCATGACATCTGCGAGAGACCCAAGATCCATGTCTACCTCCTTCGTGAGTACTTAGCCCTGCTCTGACCTGATTCCTTCATGCTTCTGGGTGCGAGAGCATCTTTCCTGATGACTAGTGGAGTGTGTGCTGTTCTGGGTGAGACAGTAAGAAGCAAAGTGTGGTGTGCCTGCCGACCAGCATGGTTTCGTACGGATGCTGCCCTGCTGCAGCTAAGCCATCATGGGTACCATCTATGAGCTAAAAACACACAACATAGAAACCATAAGACAAGCATTTACAGGGCACCTTTATCCCAGGTTGTCTGCATTTCTCACCTCAGCTTGTTTGATGCTCTCTCTTCATTAATTAAAACCAAGATGTATGGTAACCAGTACAAGCAATGCCTTGTACATGTCCTTACTCACCAACACAGCCTCAATTCCTCAAAGTCCCTATCACTGAATTCTCATGCTAGAACTCATGATACGTCTTTAGAAAAGCTACAGATTGGCATCTAACCCTATGTAGCCACAGCCCTTCCTCTCACCTGCATCTGCATGACTCTGGCTGTCTTTGTACAGTGCCAACCAAGTCTCAGCACTGCCAATGGTGGATGGGGAAGGGCATGTGGTAGACTTTGACTCTGAGTTTGATGTGATCAATTTGTCAGGAGAAAACCCTACAGCAACACAGATATGTCTGTGAGGAAACCCCTGCAACATCGATTACACTACTTTGCAAGGGTTCTCAAGTGCTGCTCCCATGAGACTTTTGAGATCACCATCCGTTCAACGGAAGAGGTTCGCGGCCTGGCAAGAGAACTATCCATGTGACATCCTGAAGGTACGGGCATGCACAGATAGAGAGATGCTCCACTCCCTGCCTCATGGAAGCTTAGGGAATCATGAAATTCTAGGGGAACTGAGTCTGCTCCCAAGCAGGCACCCCCTATCCATAATGTAGAAGCGAAGGGAGACATGCAGAAAAGAGAAGGACTTTTAGCTGCCCTTGAACTTAGGCACTTGAGGAAAACTTCCGGCCTAGCTAATTCCTGCCCTTGCCTCCTTGTTTGTAACTAGCCTGGTGATCTCACGCATGGGCTCTGTGCTTTTCAGGTTAATTCTGAGAGATCCTTAGACTGTCCCTGGCCACTGCTTTTGTCTCCCGTCTGACTGTACAATAATAGCACAGTGAAGTTCTCTATAAAGGGTTGTTTATTCCTTCTCTTTTGTGATGAACAGAAGAGGGTATTTAATAGAATTTCTTCCCATGATTCAAGTGAGGAATCTGGCAGGGAGCCGCCACTTAAGCTACCATGCTGTTTATACAACAGCAATGGGAGTGGTAAGAAACAGTTATTGCTCTATTGCCACAAATCTAGTTAAATAACAAAGTTCTCATTTAAAAAAAATCTCACTTCTGTCAAAAATTTTAAGTGACTTCTCCAAATCATTTTTAGACACCTTCCAACATTGTATTTGTTTCTAACCCATTCTGCTGAACAGATAAACTCGGGGGCCCCATGATACTTTTTCTACTATGAAAGCTCATAAATAAGGCTTTATTGAATAAAATCAGACACTTAATATTACCCTGATGGCCACAGAGAAACCCTGTCTTGAAAAACCAAATATATATATATATATATATCCCTGCTGGGATATGTTTTAATGGATATACTAGACAATGGATATACTAGACAATGAGAAACACCTGGAAATATATTCACATTGAAACTATTGTTTCCCTCAGCTAGGCACTAACTCTGTATTCAAGTGAAGAATATCTCACCCTGTCTGAAGGTACCAGGTTGGTCCAATTTAGGGAAAAGTCTGAACCATTGTCTATGACTCAGCACATGTGGTGACCAGTGCCTCTGAACCTCTGTGACTCAGCACTGTCTGTGACTCTGCACATCTGATGAGTTGGGCAGTTTTGTAAGAGAACACTAGCCTCGACCAGGATGAATATGTCTTTTTATCAGCAAAGTGCCTACTGTCACCAATAGAGGTATTAACTTCTGCTGCACATCAAGAAACATCTTTATATTCCTGGTGGACTGGTTTAAGTCCACATATCCACTTTATTATTCTAGGGAATTGTTTTCTCAAGATGCCCCCAAAACAATCACTACTATCTGACCACAGAATTCTCTCAAAATAGTTTGGATGACAAGAAATATTTAGACATGTAGCATAAAAACTCCCTTTCAGATGTTAACAGGGATGTACATGAAAAAGACTAAAGAATGCATTTACAAAAACTTCTGCCCAATGTTTTCAGCTTATCATTTCCCGATATTTATTATTTATGGAATAATAACTGATTATCCCATTAAGTAAATATGGCATTAAACATACTTTGGAAACACAACTCTCATTCTTCTAAACTGCGTCAATGAGTCCAGGCACATCTTGAAACAGTGTCAAATAGTAAATCCTAACCACCTTAACTTAGGAATTACAACCTATTAAAAGGTGACAGAGTAAACAGGAGGGTGCTGTTGAGAACAGGCCCATCACACTGATCTTTAATTCACTGAAGGGATGGCCTCTCTGGCCTCGGCAGTCCGGAAAGAGCATTTTGCCTCATTGCTGTTGCTATCTTTTTATTTAAAATGTAGTATCTTCTAAGAAATTTTTTTGTTTTTCTTTTGTTTGTCTCTAGAAAAGACAATTGCAGTTCAGCCTAGCTTTTCATCTCTGCAGGACTAAGTAGCTTTTATTTATAAATAGAACTTCAAGTTCTTTTCTGACAAATTTTTCTTCTCTTGATTTTCTCCACTAGGGACAGAGGATGAGAAGAAAAGAGTCAAGATCACTCATGTCTAGCACAATAATGATGAAATGGGAAGAAGAGGTTGGCAGCCAGTGTTCACTTATGAAACCTGAGCGACCTTTACTCCCCACCCCTGGTGTGCCGGGCATGGAACTCAAGGTAAGCCTGTTCTACTGCAGAAACCCCTGGC